GTATTCCAGTAAATATAAAGATTAAATAATTTTAAAAGTATTCCAGTAAATATAAAGATTAAATAATTTTAAAAGTATTCCAGTAAATATAAAGATTAAATAATTTTAAAATTATTTAAAAGTATTTTAAATAATTTTAAAAGTATTAAATAAATTTAAAAGTATTTAAAAATAAATTTAAAAGTAAAAAAACCTTAAAGGTTTTTTTTATAATCCCCTGTCCTACATGTGTATTTTATTTGTTTGCAAATTATTCTGCTCTCTTTTGTTAGGTTTTTCCATAGTGTCTCAGTGAACCACAACCCCTACATTGGTATTATCCATACAATTTAAAGCAAAAAAAAAAAAAAAAAAAGGAAAGAAAATTAGGATACATCAAGGTAGAACAAATTACAATTTTAGACCTTTAGAACTGACAGAAGCCAATTAGATCTAAAATTGTAGATAAATTGCTGCTGAGAAATAAGATGTAAGATCTAAGTGAACTCCAAGAGTAAAAGAGAATCTGCCCCTAAATTTAGGAGTGAACTAAAAAAGTATAGAAGTATGTGGGAACAACAATGGAAACGAGTTGCATATTGAAGTTTTTTGTAAAAGAGAATAGTTCAGTCACTCAATAGCACTTCATGCAAATCTGTTTTATATCTTGTGAGGCTCTGAGGATACTCAACATGACAAATAGTGAAATTTGCTTTCTATTCTAGGCAAGGTCTGTTCCCACAAAAACATGTGTAATTCAGATTCAAATAATAAGGACTTAGTTTGATAGAGTTCATCTTTAGGAAGTGTTTGGGAACGCCTGGGTGGCTCAGTTGGTTAAGCACATGCCTTTGGCTCAGGGCATGATCCCAGGGTCCTGGGATCAAGTCCTGCATGGGGTGGGGGTATCCTTGCTCAGCAGGGAACCTGCTTCTCCCTCTGCCTGCCACTCCTCCTGCTTGTGCTCTCTTTCTCTGACAAATAAAGAAATAAAATCTTAAAAAAAAAAAAAAAAAGAGAGAGAAGAGAGAGAGAAGTGTTTTTCTTTTCCCACTCAATGGAACTATTAAAAGGTGAACTATCCCACAAAGGTTTTAACAGACTTAGTAAAAATACATGGCATTTCTACATTTATTGAAGACAGAAGAAAGGAGAAGGAGGCAGTTTTTTTAGCCCATTAAGAATAAAGATTGAGGGGCGCCTGAGTGGCTCAATGGGTTAAGCCCGCTGCCTTCAGCTCAGGTCATAATCTCAGGGTCTTGGGATCGAGTCCTGCATCGGGCTCTCTGCTCAGTAGGGAGCCTGCTCCCCTCTTTCTCTCAGCCTGCCTCTCTGTCTACTTGTGATCTCTCTCTGTCAAATAAATAAATAAAATCTTTAAAAAAAAAAGAATAAAGATTGAGGAATGCTATACTAAACTGTAATGTATGAAGAAGTATTTTTTAAATTGGGGTGCCTGAGTGACTCATTCTGTTAAGTGTTTGACTCTTGATTTCGCCTCAGGTCATGATCTCAGGACCTTGAGATCAAGCCCAGATCAGTCTCCACACTTAGGGTAGATGGATGGGCTTAATGCAGAGTTGGCTTGTGATTCTCTCTCTCCCTCCGCCTCTCCCCCCGCACTCCCTAGCTGGTGCTCTTTCTCTCTCACACTCAAACAAACAAACAAACAAACACACATATATATAAACACAATCTTAAAAAAGAAAAGCTTTTTTAAATTAAATTAGTGCCTGCCCACAATAAAATTTTATATTGGATCTAAGGCAAATCAGATTCAACCTTCCTGCCTCTTCTCTCCCTCTTACTGTATGTATGTATGTGCTTGTATACTGGTCAGGAATTCACAACAATGACTATGGCCAGGAGAATTCTATATAACTTTATAACAGAAAACATTTAAATATTTTTCTCTTTACACATAAAGAATGAGGTGGCTTTAGGGGCACCTGGGTGGCTTAGTCAATTACCTGTCTGACTTTTAGTTTTAACTTGGGACATGATATTGGGGTCCAGGGATCGAGCCCTGTGTGGGGCTCTCCACTGGGCACCTGTCCCTCTCCCACCCCTCTCCCCTCTCCCATACCCCGACTGGTGCATGTGAGTGTGCACACATGAGTCCTCTCTCTCTCCCTCTCTCTAATAAATAAATAAAATATTTTTATTTTTATTTATTTATTTATTTTTAAAGAATGAGGTGGCTTTATACTATGTTCATAGAGTAAATGCTTTAGTGTGAAATAACCCTGGATTCAAGTTCCAATTCCACCATCTACTAGCCATGAAAGTTTGGGTAAGTTATATAACCTCCTTGGGGCTCTTTTACCACACCAATAAAATAAGGATAGTAAAGGATTATGTGAAATTATGAATATAAAGCCTTTAACATATTTTCTGGGCCATATGGCAAACACAGCAAATATTGTGAACTATGGTTATTATAATGATCAATAATGATCAGTTCGAACAGTATAATATACCGCAACAGTTAAATCACATTATCATAAGGAACAAATTATAGATATTCCAGAAAAATATTCATATAGCTAACATAAGTCATTATTCCATTTTGCTTCAGTAAACAAAAAAAATACTAAAGACAACAGAGCAAACTTGCCAGTAATATAAACTAGTCTGCAAAAGTCCTTGATAATCAGTGCTGACTATACTTTGAGGCTTTGTGAACTGATGAGTACCAATTTCACAAAGTGGTAAATGGAGTTCATGATACTATGATAAGCTTTTTTTTTTTTTTTCATGTTCTGAAGACATGGGAGACAGTATTAGGAAAAACACTTAAAGACACATGAATGTCAATTATTACACATATAGACCATGAATGTTGTTCAGTATAAATGGAGTTTCAGAGAACATAAAGGTTTTAGGTTTTTCATTATTTCCTTTTTCCTCAGAAGAGTTCACTAAGAGCATTGTGGAATATAGCAGATGCATTTAACACAATTTTGTTTATGAAACCTGGAAGTCCTATACTCAGTTTGAATAAACCCTTCCTTTCTTTCTTTCTTTCTTTCTTTTTTTTTTTTAAGAAGGTAGGGGAGGGGCAGAGGGAGAAGCAGAGAGAGAATTCCAAGCAGGCCTCATGCCCAGTGTAGAGCCCGACAAGGCGTTCCCTCTTACAATCCTGAGATCATGACCTGAGCCAAAATCAAGAGCTGGGCGTTTAACTGACTAAGCCACCCAGGTGCTCCAAACTTTGCTTTTCTTAATCAATTACTAGATTAAATATTTTTTTGCTTCCCCAACAATGCCAAGTTTGGTGTATTCACCTACAATATAGCCTCTTTTAGTGTTTAATAAATGCTGATAGCATGAACTACACGTGACAATTACTCTTCATTTCTGTCTTGCTGTTGACACTTTCAAGATAGAATGAAATGCATTAAACAAAACAAATATGTTTGCCATTTCTGCAATGTTAATTAAGGAATAATTCTTGTAAATAAAAGTATTTGGTTTTAAGTAAAAAGATGTGTTTCAGAAACAAATGTTAACTTAAATGATCATTGTCATCTATTAAAACAGAACAGATACTTGTATTATCTTCTCCCTTACTTTCACCATGTTTAAGAATAACCAGTAATCATTGCATGACTGGAAAATCATATGTATTTAAGCAAAAAAAAAAAAAAAAGAAAGAAAGAAAAAAATGGAAAAGAAAAAAAAAGTCTGGAACAATACAAAGATAATGTCTCATTCTTCCATTCATTAAATACTAATGCCACATGCATACAAGACAAGAAGGTGATAGTTTAGCCTACCTTTTAGATCCACCTTTTTAGAAATAGTTTTGAGTCATTTTCAGCAGTATTATTCTTCTGCCTTACCCTTCTATGGGTAAAAGTAGCTAACCTGAGATTTTTTTTTTTTTTTAAACAAAAAAACAGGTTGCTACAACTCTGTGAACACAGGGACAAAACTTTCTCATGTGAGACCTTAGTTTCACCAGAATTGTGCTCAAATTCCTTTCACTGTGGCCATGTCAAATGATGACACAAATACAATAGGTACGATCCGGGGTCACAAAACACTCACCACAGTTGGTCTCATCTGATGCATCTGCACAGTCTGGATCCTCATCACAAACCCACAGCTTGGAAATGCAATGTTTAGTTGTTTTACACTGGAAATAGTCTGGAGAACAGCTGTTTTCAGCTTAAGAGGAAAACATGTATTAAAATGCAGCTTTGAACAAGAACAGACATTTTATCTAACAATCAATCAGAGGAACAAATGCTTAAGAAAGTCAACTGGAAATATATTATCTTTTAATTAATAAGGCTCTGAAGGTGAAGGGTTTTAACTTTCATTATCTATGATGTATTCCAAATATCCTTCCCAGTAGAAAGAAATAAAATATATTTCTATAATGATACATTTGATAAAAATCAGAGTTCTCGATACAAGCCTCCCTTGATTAGTTATATTTTGAAATCAATTTTAAAAACAAATAATTTGGAAACTTTCTGAATAATTTTACCAAATAAATGTACGAATTTATACATATGCATTTCTATAAATAGAAGAATAATAAAATCAGAAGGTATTTGTGAATCAGGAACTAAAAAGCATCAAACTTCTCAAAATCTCTAGTTGCGTTGAGTTTTTGAGGGAAGGGGTGAACATCTGACTTAGACTGTAAACTGCCTCACAAATCCTAGTCAGTTTAATGGATCAGCTCTTGGAATGACTAACCATAAAGAACTGGTACTGACTTTATTCTGAATGCACCATCTTAATCAAATTGCTGGATGACTGCACATTATTTACTGATAAAAGTTTTAGGGGAATAAAATAAAACTTCAGCAAGACAGAAACGTTGACAGCAGTTCTGTTGAAACCCTGAAACCTGACAGGTACTTTATTGCTCGTATTTTGTATGTTTGGGTTTTCGTGTGGGCACGCCTGTCTGCCTACGTGCATGTATGTATATGATGGAAATTGTTTTGCCTTCCATTGAATCTGTTTGATTTTTGGTGGGGGATGGAAAGAAGAGGTGAAAAGAGTAGAAAATATTTTACTATTGTTCTTTGAAGTAGCTGGCAAAGATACATTAAACAGTATTATTTACATTTTTGAACAAATAATTTTGTTAGGTTTTTTTGCTCAGATTTTCTCATCATGCATTCGACATGTATTTTATGGGGGGAAACGATCTCTAATTAATGGAGTTGATTTCAAGGTAACTAATCAACAGAAAAAAATTATTTGTAGCTGCTTAATGTGGGCAAAAAAAATCAATTTATGAATAAAACACCACAGTCACCTGTAATGTTGGTTTTGTTGCTTCTCTTAAGGATGATTTGAATGAATATTCATTGTTTAATGTTTGTTATAATCTTTAGGTAGCTATCTAAGTAAAGACCATACATGTTTTAATTTTCTTTAAAGCCTTTACAGGGAACTTCTTAAGTAACCCATCCCCCAAGGTGCCAATTTGGAGGTATATGTTCCATAATTGCTGTTACATTTTTCTACATTGTGCGGATGTATGGCACACAATAAAAAATTTTAGACCCATGTCAGCTGAGACTCAGAAGTAAGACAAGTTGGAACATTCTGAGGTGACTTACGACAGTCCCTTTCATCTTCTTCATCCCCACAGTCGTCTTGTCCATTACATCTGAGGTTTACCGGGATGCATTTTTGGTTCTTTGTACACTTGAACTGACCTGACAGGCAGACATGTGTGTCTAAAAGAAAGAAAGAAGATCAACAACAAATCTGCACTGAAAACTGTGCCTGCATTTAAATTGGTGCAGACAAAATCAGGTAAGAATTGGACTTATGTTCCTTGGTTAAGAATTTAATCACCTACCACAGTTGAGTTCATCAGAATTGTCACCACAGTCATTCTCTCCATCACAGAGGAAAGCTGGCAGAGCACAGAGCCCAGTGCCACACTGAAACCGGCCTGGCTGACATTTAAATTCAGCTAGGGGAGAAAACAGACTGGTATCATTGAATGCCAAGCTTTGCTCATGACCTCTTAAATAGAGCTTTTCTGATGTTATGGGTATTTATTATTTCATTATATTAAACATACCCTAGAGCACACCGTGAATGTCTCATACTTAGTAGCTATTGGATTCAGATGTACAGTATGACCAGGCTATGAGCAACTCAGATGGCCTCCAGATTACATATCACAAATTAACAGTAAGAAATCCAAGACGATAATGCATCTTTGCCATATTTCTTAGTTTATATATGAAATAATGATAACAATAATCATCATAATAAAGTAGGCTCTATTGAATATCTGCTCTGTATCAAACACTAGGTGACACACTTTCACAAAGAATCTCATCAAAACCTTCTCACCTCAATATCTCCACAACTGTTTTATAAATGAAAAAACTAGGTCTCGTGGATATTAATAACTCATTCAAGTATGTACAATTTTCAAGTGCCAGATATGGAAATTAGATCTAGATCTGACTCTGAGTCTTCTCACAAACTATATTGCTTGCCAATAAAATACTTACCTTTTGACTGATAATCCTAATATATGTAGTTCAGATAAGTCAACTGAATGAATATCAATAGTGATATTTTAAACTTTCTTTGGGAAATTAATTATGCTTTTATATTTACAATATTAAGTAAAAATTTCCTTAACATTAAAAAAATAACTCAATATGTGATCGACTTCCATAGAAGTGAGTCCTAAAATGTCGAAAGTCATTCAATTTCTAACATTTCTTAGTAAACCACACTAAGTGTTAAAACTGTGTGATACTTAATTTCTCACATTCTAAACTCATGCATTTCCTCTATTTTTTTTTTTTTTTTTTAGATTTTATTTATTTGTCAGAGAGGGAGAGAGGGCGAGCGAGCACAGGCAGACAGAATGGCAGGCAGAGGCAGAGGGAGAAGCAGGCTCCCCGCCGAGCAAGGAGCCCGATGTGGGACTCGATCCCAGGACGCTAGGATCATGACCTGAGCCGAAGGCAGCTGCTTAACCAACTGAGCCACCCAGGCGTCCCAGCATTTCCTCTATTTTTTGTTGCTTCATATATGCTTTTCTTGAAATCACATATGATTTCTTGAATTTTGGTAGCAAAGGATGGTCCTCTACCAAAAAAAAAACCTTCCCATAAGATTTCTAACTATCAGAGGAGTTTCAATGCCTAGAAGATAGCTGGGAAGCCTATCTGACCTTCAAATGTGCCTCCAGAATGATCTTTTGTGTACTAGAGCATCATAGAAAATGCAGTTAAAAACTTAAGATGCCAGAGAATTCATGATGCATCACTCTTAACCACATTTATTTAAACAACATTATTGAAGTTTGCAAGTATGTGAAACTGGGTTTAACCTTTCATGCCTTTTCAGATAAAATTATTGAGACTCTCAGTAACTTAGTACCTGCGAATTTTGAAGATATAGCTACTCAAATATGAATTCTAGACAGTCCACAGACTCATGTTCATCACTTCCCACCTACCTCACCATAACACTCAAAATAAGGCTTCATGCCTACAGATGTTCAGTGCTATTAACCCAAGTAAAAGATTATTTACTAAAAGATCACAGAGACAATGTCACCAATAAAAACATGTAGTACTGGTATTTAACTAGGATAAGGATGATACAGAGACTCTTAGATACTAGATGTCTCTTTGCTTTCCCCTTAAAAGACATTAAAGTTATATTTGTTCATCATATATTTTCAAAGGGTGTAAGTATGAAAATCTTTGGTTATTTTTTTCTATCAGTATGGTTACAGCATGATACTCCAGTCAAGGTGAAAGTTAGAGCTAAGGAGCTGCAGATAGTTTAGAAGGGAAAGCATTGGGAGCCACTGACTATGTCTGCAAGTCATCATGGCGGTATTTCTCAGAGAACACTTCAGTGAATCTGGGCAGGGAAAGTCATCCTAATATGAGAACTCATTTAATGTATTTGTTCTTCATCATTTCTATAAATTACAAAATAGGTTGTGTTCATTTTATTTATTATATTGTTAAAAGTTTACTTTATTGCAGGGAAATCGGTAACTTTCTTTTAATGAGTAAACCTCAGTTGGCCGCCAATATAATTTGTTCCTTTGATAGCCCTTTGAATTCAAATATAATTCAGGCATAATAGTATATTTACATCATATAAAAACTACTCATGTGTATTGTCTATCACAGTGAAAACAAAAACTATATTGAAAAATCAAAGACCAATGGACCTTTCAAAAACATAAGAAGAATATTAGAAAAGCAATGATTTCTGTAACTTTTTTTCCTTTTTCTTGAATACATTATTAGCTGTTTTCAAATGAAAACAATGAACAATGTGAAACAACTTCAAATGGTTTATATGCTTTGTAGTGACCAGAGAGATGGAATACATCTCATCTAAGTAACTATCTAGAGACCCTAAGGTTAGAACAGTTTTTGTAATTAGGTGGTGGAAAGTTCTACAGCAGAAAGTAACTAGCTTTTACTTAGTATACTGTCTTTCTTTAGTGTAAGCTTAAGGATCTTGAACTCAATTGTTAAGGCCAAATCATGGCAACTATCCACCGAGATTTGAGGGAATTATCATGATCAAATATAAGCATCTTCAACTTGATAGGATTGTATTGGAGTGACCTATGGTGTGAACTACAAAAGACTATCAAGAAAAAATTTACTGATTGTCCATTACAACCGAAGTTACCAAAGATAAATAAATGTATATACACATATGTGAACATATACATAAGCCATACACACACACACACACACACACACACACACACACACGCTCTTATATGGGTATACCTACCTATATGTATGTATGTATGTATTTGGCATCTAACCATTCCAATCACAATTTGAGTCAAAGTAAAATTAGCAGTCATTTTAAGGAATACCTAAGAGCATACTAAATTATTAGTAGAACAAACTAATGATTTATATTGGGAAAAAAATCTAACTTTTAAAGAATGTTCAGTATTTTAACACTGTGAAGACTGATCCCTTAAAGGTAAGATCTTAGTTATTGATTGGCATTCTGCAAACTTGCCATTTTTTGCTTTTGATTTGGTGATATATCCAGGCAAAATCATGTTGATTGTTATTTATACTGATCATTACACAAAGAGTGTAATTTTTCTTTAAGTAAGAAAATTTAAAACAAAACACTAACACAAATTGCTGATGATGTCATTCTAAATGTAACAGTTAACAGAGACATACTCAAGAGATTGTTAATAATTTTGGTTGTATTTTTAAAGATTTTGTAAAAGTATCAGAAGGTTATACTTAAGGTCTCCCTTCAATTTTCAGTGTTTGGGATTTAAGGAGTTCTGAATTCTGAATGCCCACATTTCAGCAGTGTACTTACGACAGTCGTCAGGTTCGTCAGATCCATCGCCACAATCATCCACAGTGTCACATTTCCACCAGAATGGAATACATTTATCAGTTTTGCATCGAAACTTTAAAAAAAAATAGAAAAAAAAGAAAGAAAAAAAAAGTTGAAGAACCCTACCCCGATATAAAATTGATATTTAAAAACTTACCAGGGCAGAGTAGCCTAGCCTACACTCTCGCTGCAAATGTTAACTGTGGTGGTCTTAGAGCATTTCACAATAGGGAATAAATGCACAACAAGCAGCAAAATGATCTTCCAGGAAAGCACATTGTTCAGGAAAACCTCCTGGGATTTCTGGAACACAGACAAGCTCACTCATTTACATATGATCTATGGCTGCTGGCTGCTCTTGCACTACAACAAGTTAGGTAGTTGCTACAGAGACCATGTGGCCAGCAAATTTAAAATACTTATTGTCTGAGCCTTTACAGAAAGCATGGCAAATGCTGAAGAGGGCTAAAAATCACCAGAAATATCAGGAACAGTTATCCTGAATGTATTGAAAAGTTGAATTAATTTAGTTAATTCAAATTAAGTTAACTGAACTGCATTTTCTTAGGAATCTTAGACAATTGTATTAACGTCTCTCTATCTCTATTCCTTAGCCACCAAATGAGGAGTTAAATATAATCTGGATGATCTTTTCTGGCACTGTCATGCTGTTATTCTGTGGAACTTCCTGAACATACTGCCTTTAGCCATAATGAATATCTGCCCAAATAAGTTTTAAGAATATTTCTTTAAAGCAGTTAAAACTGGTACAGTTATTTTCAGTTTTCAGAATTCATAATAAATATACATGATCTTTGAGGGTAAATAAACTGTCACAACTAAAAAATAGGTACAAAAATTGCACTAGATAGTTAAACATGCAAGGAAGACTTTGTTTAAAACTTGCAATAGGGGAAAGAGAGTGAACAGAACTCCACCGAAACAAAAAGTGGGGGTAGGTTGAAGCTTAGAGGTAAACTAATGGAAAAGTATGGAGGATGTTGGTTAACATGATTAAGCTGTCTGTATTTGCTAGACTGTACTTATCAAAGGTGGGCTCCAACCTTCCCATAGAGACCAAGATAGTCAGGGACTATCTTTCTTGATGATTAAATCTCTAGGGGATGGTTCCCAGTCCTCAAGGAAGACATTCCTAAACTGTAAAACTGGCAAGAAGCTGGGAGAAAATTTACATCTCAAAAGGGCAGAGAAATAATCCACAGTTGCAAGTTTTCTAAAGTGAATGCTCTAATTAAAGGGACTCAGGGACCTACAGTCAGGAAGAAACTGTCTAAAGGTTCTTCAAGCTGAGGAATGTTAATGCTATCTTGGTCAAAGACTTACCACCCTATGCTACATCCTCCCCACAAAGCCTGGCAAAGAACTTAGCAAACAGTAGGTTTCTCTAAGTTAAAATGAACATTTGCAAATCAAAAAACAGTAAAAATAAAAACAATAAGGGTGCAACAAATTTTTTGCTGAATATCTTTTTGAATATTGTATATTTTAAATAAAACACTAAAGAAAACTGCTGTAATAAAACTTATTCTTAAGATTATAAAAAAAACTATTCACTGACATATTTATTAGTGTATTTTGTTTTTTTTTTCAAATATTTGTTTATTTATTTTAGAGAGAGAGAGCCTGAGTACTTTGGGGGTAGGGGTGGAGGAAGAGGAAGAGAGGCAGAAAGGCAGACTCCCCACTCAGTGGAGAACCCAGGCACCCCTATTAATGTGTTTTATTTGTCCTATCATCCCTTCCATTCAAAACAATTAAAAATTGGGGTGTCTGGGTGGCTCAGTGGGTTAAGCCTCTGCCTTCGCCTCAGGTCATGATCTCAGGGTTCTGGGGTGGAGCACCACATCGGGCTCTCTGCTCAGCAGGGAGCCTGCTTCCCTACCCCCCGCCTGCCTCTCTGCCTACTTGTGATCTCTGTCTGTCAAAAAATAAATAAAATCTTTAAAAAATAAAATAAAATAAATAGTTAAAAATTTTAAGAAAAGAAATTCCATTATTTACAGAAGTAAGAAGAGTTTTTTTTAAAAACTCCTTTGTTTTGAAATAAACATCAAACGGAAGATTAATAACAGAGAAACTAGTTGAAAATGTTATATGGTAGTATTTATTTATAAGCTACTTAGCACACGTGTAACATATTACCAGAAAAATATTACAGAAGGTTATTATTGGATTTTTTATGAGAAAGGTGTCTGAATTCAAATTCTTCTCCTGAAACAGAGCACAGAATTATTGTTTCTACTAAACTTCAATATTTGCCAAAGGGACAGAGACCAAGAAAACTCAGTACCTAGTGATCTCAATGAGTTTTAAGCTTACTCTCATAAAAGAAACTAAAGAAAACCATGCTTTCCATATAAAGAGTATATATATCTGAAATAGTTACCATTAAAAATTTACTTTAAATTATTAAAACCAAGCAATAAAGTTTAGTTTCTTCTAACACTATCAAATTGTTTTCTTCTTTATTTCAACAGAAATTCAGTGGAAAACATATATCACAAAATTCATCTGGAATTGAAAATGTTTGATAATTTTCTAAAATTTATTAATTTTCTTTTTGAAGTGTTTCTGTTGTAATTCCCATGTGAGTGATCTGAAAGCAAGGTTACATTTACTTAACATGCTGTATGCCAGACAGATAGGTAACCTAGAAAAATATAGCCTAGGTTCAATTTTGTCTAATGCAATAGATTAGCAAGCTAAAAGTTTGTTCGTTTAAAGTACTCTTACTTTCTTCAAGTAAGAGAAAATTTGATGCTAGCTTTTGCTTAATCTCTCTGGATACCATGAAGTTGATTCAAGGCAGATCTACATTATTTTCTTAAATAAGGGTGTGATTTTTCCCCCCAATAGAGATATGGGAGGAAATAGAGCACTATGAATACAAGGGAAGATCTGACTGTTCGACTGATTTTCCTGTAATTGCTAAGCCTGTGGTCATGTCTGTGGTGGTTTTTATAAATTACCACAGGAAAAATATTACCTTTATAGATAGTGACTGTCTGGGGATATAAGGCTAACTCTGAAAGCAATTGCCCTGAACATTAAACATTTCCAGTCATTACAGTATATCAAAGCACATTAGCAAGAGGATTTCATGTCTCCTGAGTATATTCAAAGCCTTCCCAATCAAGATTTGAAAAATATCTAAAATACATATTTTAAAACTCACTACATATGCCCAATTTAAATAAACACCAACTGTTGGAATTATATGTGACATGACGACTGTGCTTGTCATTTCATTTTTAATAAGAACACAAAAAGGTTTTGAGCTAAGAGAAGGCCAGGGTAAAATATACTTATTATGTTTCTTTTTATGCTAATCAACATTTTATTCATTATTCTCAAAGGAAAATTTCTTCTATTTTGTGTCTGGGCTTCAATTTTTCATACTTAAATACAGTAACTTAAAAAAGATAAATGCTAAATATAAATATAAAACATTCTTCATGGTAAATGTTCTCCAAGACTAATATCTTCATAAAACAAATTGCGAACTGCAATTATCACCCACAAGAAGAAGCTATAAAGAAACTACTAAATACATGTCTATTAAAATGGATATAAGTATAAAATGCAAATCCTGCATACACAAGTGAGGTTTACTTGCAACAGAAAAATCTCCACTTAAAAACTAAGTAAAGCTATTTTTAATTTATTTTTTATTAAAAATAAAAATGATTTAAATTTGATATTTGAAGTGATAAGTGCTATAATAATTGGATTTAATCTTGATTTTAAAAGGATTTTCATGTTCATTTCAACTCTAATAGAATTCTTACTGGTGTGATTTGCCTATTTTATTTTTCTAAAAGTCAATGCTATTCAGGGGATATATCTTTAGATGCAAAAAATTTTAAAAATCCTGTAGTAAGATAAATTTAAAATGTAACATTTTTATCAGGATGCTAACTGGTATGATTCTGAATACTTGGATTTTTGCTTCATTTCAATTTCAAACCTCATTTTAAATTGTGTTTCTATCAACTGACTTTTCTCCAAGAAATATATAGTAGATAGTTTTTTCTCTCACCGCATCAGGAAAAATCAGCAGTAAATGGCTGCATAAACCCTAAGACATACTGGGATCTCTACTAATGGATTACATTAACGCTCTTCATTAACTTTTTTGTAAAAATGAAATGAATGATAACTCTTTTCTTCAGGACATACTGCTGACAACAAAGATATATGATTCACAATTTGTGTTGTTATTGTTAGTGTTCTGTCTCACTATAGTAGAATTTTTTTTAAATTAAAAAAAACTCTTATAAAAACACTATTGGGGTATTTAAAAGCTTTTTATATATTTTAATCATATCATCAGTAATACCAAATTGGGAGATAATTTAATTATATTAATAATATTTTTCTGGGTTGATATAGGTATTCATTTAGTTGATCTGATTTTTTTGGAATTGAATAGACATAATTACAGGTTTTCTTATATAATAATTTGAAATCTTTTATTCCCTTTATGATTATGGGAAGGCTGCTGTTTTGAGATATTCATCTGTGTGTCAAGCATCCTTTGGCTTTGCTCTATTTCTGGTTGGCTATAGAGGCTCTCCACTGTGTAAGAGGCTCAGGCGGACATCATCATTTCTACTAAGTCACCTAAGGCCACAGTGTTAGGCACCAACAGAGAGACTCTTGTATCTCACCCCCAACAAGGGACCAAGTTATTTCAGAATAACTTTTGAGTTTAAACTGGACATTTTCTAAACTAAATAGTACTAACAGGAATTATATTTAAAAAGTTTTAAGAACCTAGGATTTCTCCCTTAGATTTTCTTTCTAGGAATAATTACGTTGCTTATTTTGTCTTTCACAGTGACTTAAATTTCTAGTTCTCTAAAGATAAAGTATTTTACCTACACAAATGCTTGGGGGATTATAATTAAAACAATACACTTTGTAAAAAAAAAGAAGAAACTGTGACCTGTGCTTCCAATAACACATCAGAACCTCCTGACGGCAGCTCACACTAATTGCACACACATCCTTGCATGTGTTCTAGTTGGACCCCAGGACACGGGCAATAACAACACTTACTACGTACCAGGAACTTCTCCCATTTAATCTCCATAAGAGTGGCCTGGAAATACTAGTATTTCCATTCAAAAGATGAGAAAACGGAAGCATCATGAAGGTAAGTAACAAACCCAAGATTATTCAGCCAATTTCAAGCAGAGTCAGGGTGACAGTCCCAGTGAATGTACCCTTAACCACTACACCTACTGTCTACCACAAAGCGGTTTGATGTTTTGCATTATACAGTTCTTTACTAGTGATACTCCTAGTGATAACTTGAGAAACTGGGTGAGCTAGTATTAGCTTCTCTGTTCTGAAAATAAACACACCCAAAGATAAATTCAGTGTTTTACCATGAAGTCACTGCTAAAATTGGGAAACCAGCAGATTCAAACCACAAAATTCTGGGATGCCTGGGTGGCTTAGTCGGTTAAGTGTCTGTCTTCAGCTCAGGTTATGATCCCAGAGTCCTGGATCAAGTTCCACATGGGGCTTCTTGCTCAAGTGGGGAGCCTGCTTCTCCCTCTGCCTCTGCCTGCTGCTCCCTATGCCTATTCTGTGTGTGTGTGTGTGTGTCAAATAAAATATATATATATATATATATATATATATATTTAAAAAAATAAAAAATAAATACCCCCCCCACAGAATTCTAAGAACAAATTTTAGACATTTTCAAAACAAATCATGGTTCCTTTGACAATTTTATCTTATATAACAGAGTAACTCAAATATAAAAAAATCAAATCTTATAATGTCATCTATCACCCAAAATTTGTAAGTAGTAATATCAAGTCCATGCAACTAAATACTATTGAGCATACATTTTAAAATCTTTACTAGAAATAATTACATGTTGAAGAAAAAGAGTTTGGGAAGGAAATTATTTAGATTATATAATTTTTCAATAAAAAATTTAGAAAATTGACTTTTTGTCCAATTCATCTCTTCCATACATATCCTTTGTTAAGGGATGGGAGGGGAGTATACATGGTGACATAGCCGATTATCTAGGAAGATTTGTTTATTTGTTTAAACTGCATATATCTTAGTCTTCACCCTATGCCACAATTACCCTGCCTTCTTGAAATATGATCTCTTTGATCTCTTCTAATGATTCTGCTATGTCCATTCATGATTTGGACCATTACTCTGTGTGGAGCTGTGTAAAAATGGTTTCCAGGTTTGTTTTCTCTTTTTGGCCTCTATTTGTATCTCCTATTTCCTGAGGTCTCGTTCTCAGGATGACATCAATTGTTTTTCCCTTACCCTATGACTCTCTATATGATGTATGGGAAGTTCATCATACTATGCTAAACAACAAAAAATGATGTTTCCAAGTGGTTTAAGCCAATAAACAAAATGCAGGCAAAATCTTTATAACAGCTTGATGATACATTTTATGAAATAATTTCTATGGCTCTACTCACCTGACTAGCTGTGCAATTGGATAAGCAAGTCCTATTGTCAGTTGCAAGATAGAAGTTGGTGGGACATGCACAGGTATGAGTCTTTCCAGGGGCTAAAAGGCACAGATGACTGCAACCACCATTATTTATCATACAGAGATGTTTGGAGACTACAGATGAGAAAGAAACAGCAAAACGGAAAAATCAAGACCAAAATATAATATGGGATTAGAAACAGGGCATTTAAACTTCATAGCCTGTAGAATTTTGTAATCAAGAAATCAGCAAGGTCATAAATATAGTTGTATTCTGTTATAAATTCTATTCTCTGCCAAATGGTATTTATTTTACCATTAAATAATTTTAAGGATGTAGTTCCACAAAAACAAGCATTTTAGTAGAAAAAAAAATTGTCCATCAGAATATAGAGAGAAGCATTTTGATGAAAACATACATATGTTTAGAATTATAAATGTAAAATAAAACAATGAAGCAATGATCTACAACTAATAGTGTAGATGGCTTTGTTTTATAAGCCAAATAGTGGCTTAAGCAAAATAATCAAACTTTTATTGCATAAGACCTGACAGAATTCCACTAGACATATGCTTTAAAAACTTGATATATTTCTCCTTCTTAGAGCCCCAGAGATACTTAAATATAATTCCTTTCACACAGCATTCCAGAAAGTAAGGATCCTATAACTATTTTGTTAAGAAATCATTTCAAGAATGCATTCTCTACTTCTCTAACTACATTTATTATCATTTCAACTTAGTATTTCAACAAATTAATAATTCTCTATACTATTATTGAGCTTCTAATCATATTCCTTAATAGACAAACTTGAAATCAATCCAATTCATCCTATACAGTTAAGCTAAACAATGAAATCTGGTACTCTTTCTCAAAAATAAATTTACACTTAACCATGGAGGAAACAAAAATGGAATGTTACTAAAAGATGTGGATGTGCTTATGGAAATCATGGAAAGAATAATTACCATCGGGTTGTCTATAAGAATGATACACCTGGATATCTGTGATGGCATGCCATGAGTTAATCAGTGAGAGTCTGTCTGCTCCCGAGGTTTTATGGGCACGGCTGAGTGACTTGGTTTTCCCATCAGTCCAGTAGATGTAGTCTTCAAACAATGTTAGTGCAATCACCCCTGGAATATCTTGATTAGGGACTGTAATAGGAGATGGTAAGATTAATGTTCAGTCTTGGAAGACTGCCAGTTAAAATATTCAATACTACATGGGCTGACAGATACAACTGCTACAGAACTTCATGTGAATAATTGCTGTGACAACCTGTCAGGCCAGCAAGGTTCTTTATTACCGGTTAAGAGAATGCAGGATCTGGCGCAGGAGTTTACTTTGCTCAGAGTTTGCCCGATTCGACCACTGGGAGGAAGTGAATGCTATCCTGCTCATGAGTAATGGCTGCTTCACCAGAAACAAATACCATCCAATAGTTAAATATGTGTATATATCCATCCAATTGGTCCCAACTTAAATCCTTACAACTACAGTTTATTGACTACTACCTTCTTCCACTTCCAAATCGATTAAATTATATATCCAGGATGAAATGTTTATCTACCTGGAGATAGACTGACTATAAGATCACTATAAACTATTTTAGTCGCTGAGATTTTATGAGTATTTTTACATGCAATATGAGCTGGGATAGGGATGGAGGAAAATAAGTGTGACAGACAACAATGTATTAGGCAGATTTAACAGTCATAAAACTGTTTAGTTGCAGGTTAAAATTATTTCATAATTATATTTTCATTATAGGACTAGGTTTAAATGTAAATAGTAGATTGAGCATCACAAATGTGAATTTTTCATTCAAGAGATTCCAGGGTCCTATCAGGCATATGAGATATGAAAAATTTGTTTGGTGATTTAAGGTTTAAGTAACTTTAAAATGTGATATAGTTTTCTTCAAAAACAGTTTCAAAAGCTACCAATAAAGAAAGTGGAAATTCCTTAATTTGCACAAGCATTACAATTTTTTCCCATATTTGTTTTCAGATCTATTTTTAGAAATTCTGAGAAACTGTTCACTAATGAAAAAAGGTACTGTAAGTCCAATAACCAGTACTTTTTTATAAATTAGATTTTCATGACTAAGAATTAATGTTTGCATATTCCTCATTCAGGAATAACAGAGAAACTATCAAAATTTCAAATACAATTTGGAATTTTTACTCAGTGGGGTCAAAGATGATCAGAGAATTCAGAGACAGAGAATATCTGTCTCTGTGACACAGAGAAAATAGAAATAAAAGCAGTAAGACGAAACTTCCCCAAATAGGTGACAATTTAAACTACTGACAATTATCACTGTAGGGGGTAGACAGAAATCCCTCTCAGAATAGATATTATGCCTATGAAGCAAAACTCAAAAAAAAAAAACTGTTAAGTGTACACTTTTGATGCAAGTACTCAAACTGAATTATCTGTGCACTCCTGTAGATACGAAGTCTATTGCTAGAATGATAAGTGGAATTGGATAGAAAGATGAAGAGGATACTTTACTAGAATGAATCATATCTGAGTTATTTACACAAACTATTCCCACTTTCCCTCTTTGGCTGTATAAATTCATTCCAGAAAGAGAAAACTAATGTGGTAAAATGTTAACAACCAGGTGAATCTTGGTGATGGGTGACTGTAACAGTCTTTCAACATATGTGTATGTTTGGAAATCTTAAAAATAAAACAAAACTTGGCAGAAAAAAGTTGAAAGATACAATTCAGATTTCTTTAGATGCAAAGGAAATAATTAGATCATTAAATATGGACTCAAAAAGTTAATCGTCATTTAAAAGAAGTCTCACTTCACCAGAGATTCAATTAATTTATACACAAAAAGTGGAGTTACTTTATGAATTTGCCTATTAACACCTCTAATGTTGCATAGTCTTTTTGATTACTCAGTAAGTAACTTATAGCTGACATTTATTAAGTACTCTTGTGCCAGGAAGTTGGCAGTGATTTTCAGTGGGTGGGGGCAGGCAATTCTGGCCCCACAACAAAGAATGTTCAGGCCCAAATAGTAATAGTTCTGAGGTTATGAAACTCTGTTATAAGATATGTACTTTATGCACCTTATTTTATTTAATATGCATCATTTTATTGTTTATAGCAGACAGATCTCACTTCACAGATGAGCAAGATAAGATCTGGAAAATTTAAGTATCTTGACCAAAGAGGGGGATTAAAAACCAGTAAATGAAGGTACTGGTATTTAAGTCTAAAACAGTCTCTGGCTGCCAAGTTCTTTGCCATTTTACCTCCTAGCACTGGTTTCTAGAAAGCCAGCCTCATAGGCAAAAGTACTGTTATAGACTGAATTGTTTCCTTCTCTTCCAAATTCATATGTTGAAGCCCTAGCTCCCGGGATGACTATATTTGGAGATAGGTAAGAGTGGGGTCCTAATCCAATATGACCAGTGTCCTTATAAGAAGAGAGAAGCAGAGACACCAGGGATGTACACATATAAAGAAAAGATCATGTGAAGACACAGCAAGAAGATAGCCATCTACAGCTAAGAAGAGAGAGGCTTCAGGAGAAACCAAGTCTGCCACGACCTTCGTCTTGGACTTCCAGCCTCTACAACTATTAGAAAATAAATGTTTGTTTAAACCAACCAACTTGTGGTACTTTATATGGCAGCCTTAGTAAACTAATGCAAATATATAAAGGCATAAGACTGATTTCATAAACTCCATGTGAAAGTGGGTGGGGCAGAGGGTGAGGGAGAGGGACAAGCAGACTCCACACTGAGCCTGACTTGGGGCTCCATCCCAGGACCCTGAGATCATGACTGAGATAAAATCAAGAGTCAGATGCTTAACTGATTGAGCCACCCAGGCACCCTGAAAGTCAGTTTATTTAATTACTTGATTGAATTTACATTATGTTTTCAGACATGGAGCAATTTAAGTACTGGACAAGTTTCCTCTCTCTAAGTTTGTAGTGACTACCTATCAGAAAATCTCTGTTATCAGATAATCAGTATAAATTTATGGAGATCAGAAAGGTTAACTCTTACTTCAGAAGATGGGACACAACTGAATGTATAGAGATCAATATAGAAAAAGTCAAGGTAAAGAAAATTAGTCTATTTGCTCAAAGAGACTATCAGTTTGATTTAATCCCTTGTTTGATACTGGGGTAAAGAACAAGACTATCACTCTTAGCTTTATAAGCTCACTCCCAGGACTGTTCATTTGGCAAACATGTATATTTCCCAAACAGCATCAGATACAACCACCAGAGTGTTTGTTCTAGAGAAAACAAAGTAAAAACACCAACTTTTGTTAACAAGGGGATATCCAGTCCCACATATCTAACACTATAGTAGCTCCAACAATCTATTCTCTAAGAGATGGTGAAACTTCACTTAATACCACAAACAACGCCAATGAAAATCAAGCCAAACAAAAGAAAGCAAAACAAACACAAACAAAATCTTTTTTTTATTGCCTTCTAGGAGTTTAGCTTACAACTTGGCAGTACACTTTATTTCTTCTTAAGGATTTAAACCTCTCCAACAAGGTATTTGACTATTTGCTTAAACTTCTGGGTGGGAAAAAGCCATATATTAACTGCTAAATGATAAGTATAAATAAATGAATCCCATGTTTGCTTTTCCATCAACAGATGAAGAATTCAGCCCACATTGAGGCTAAATGAGATGTTCTGAGCCAAATCATCATTTTAGTATAAGGAACTTTCCTGATTCAGAATGATAAAAATAAAATTGCTTATTTTTGGCTGTCTCCTTATTTATCTTCTTATTACTTTGTAAATATGTACATTTATATGTATATATGCATTTACATATTATATATGTGTACATTTGTAATATATCATTATACCTATACTTATCTATGTATATTCATATATAATTCATAATAAGTACATAATAAGTCCATATAAACATAAACACAGAATGTGATGACATGAGAAAAACATTTAACAAATTCACTGAGATGTGGCTGTGTTTATGGAAAAAGTAGTCAATGTTTTCTCAAAATAATAATGGCTATCCTTTTTAAAAGAAAAATAGTATCACTGAGTATCATATATAAGACTGCACTTGCTTAATTAAAAGAGAAATGTGAAAAATAAACTTAAAGCACACTTTATTTACAGGTATACAGTCGACATACAAAATAAGACAGAAAAAACAGAACTATTGCATGGCCTGTAATGGGTATTTATTATGTATTTTAAAGCTGCTTTCTGCAGTTAAGTCTCTATTCTGGATAACAGCATTATTTATTTTACCATTTCCAGCATTTCACTCAAGTATTAGGCTCCTAATTTTTATCTTATAAACTATATCTATCAGAATAAAGAATGTGGTATTTGGCAAAAAAATACATCAAAGAAATACTCTTTGTGAAGGTTTTCCTTTTTAGTCAAGTTGGATGCTATCTTATTAACATTTCTAATAATTACAACAAATAGAAAAGGTGGCAATCCAGAATATGCTTTTGGCTTAACCACTGCCTCACAGAGTTATTCTATTATGATGCTCTTGATGGCTGATCTTTTGATAGCATTCATCATGCTAAACAAGTGTATTCCTTGATAATATCTTTCAAATTTTGCATTTCAACTTATCTAGTTTAAATACTTAACAAAATGCACCAGTTACACAGTATTCATCTTTCTTTGAGTTAAAATGTGGTAATTGGTGCTATGGGTAGGATATAATATTGGGATAATGGCAGAATCAGCATGACTCTGCCCAGTGGGTTGAAATAGAAATTTTACTAGAGGTAAAATTTCTCTCTCTCTTTTTTCCCTTATATCTCCTCCAAGATTTACTTCAAGAATTAAATGTGATTTTAAAATATTACTTTATATGCAGCAATCCCTATAATTTATTGTTATAAAATTACTTTAAAAACTTTAGCAATATTCTAGTAAAGTAAAACAAAATAAAGTAAAACAAAGTTCATAGAACACAACCACCAAATTCAGTAATTATTATTATAAGTAAATCAAAATTACAGAGTAATTTGAGCATTACTATTTTTTTTCTTTTTTTGAGTATAAAGAATTTATGTATTGTTTGGAAGAAAATACCTAAATATTGTCACTGTATGGCCGATTAGGTTTGGAAATTTAATCTAAAAATTTAAAGTAAACAAAGAT